AACAAAACTTTCATATAAATCACCTAGTTGAAAACAATCTGCTATATAGAAAACATCAAGACGTCAATAAACTGGTCATTCCAAGGACACATTATAAACATGTCATTTACATTCACCATGACATTTCAGACACAGCCCATCCTGGTAGAGATGAAACAATCCGGAAAATCCAAAGGAAATATTTCATAAAAAACATTTCAAAAGTAGTAGTTGAATATGTAAGAAATTGTTCCACCTGTGCAGCAGTAAAGAGGCAAATTCAAAAAAATGCTCCCATGGAGGCTCACACTGCAGAATTTCCATTTGAGGTTCTTTCAATGGACATCTTAGGACCCTACAGCACCACATCCAAAGGAAAAAAGTATATTCTCTGTGTTGAAGACATTTTTACTAAATGGGTAGAAGCAAAAGCATATTCCGATGTAACAGGAAAAAAGGTTGCAGAGTTTTTGGAAAATGAAATTTTTTCAAGATATGGATGCCCTTCAAAAATAATAGCAGATAACGGTACCCAGTTTAGATCCAACAACATCCAACAAATGTGTGAAAAAATAAAAATGGTATACAGCCCCATTTTTCACCAAAGGTCAAATCCAGTGGAGAGACGCAATCAAGAAATAAAGAAAATATTTAGAACCCTACAGCTTGACAATAAAAATGATTGGGACACGCTTCTACCACAATCATTAAAAGTTTTAAGATCCAGACAAAATGCAGCCACTGGTATGTCTCCATCAAAAGCACTCTTTGGATATGAGCCGGCACAGTCATCAGAATGGCAAGTTGACTCATACATCAGAGAAAGGCAACAAGACGTTTCCTCACCAAGGCAAAACCGTAGGCAAACACTCATTCAAAATCAACAAAAATACCAAAAGAAATATGCTAACCCAGACAATACCCAGAAAATCACGTTCGAGGTTGACGATATGGTTATGGTTCGCGAAAACAGGCAAAGCAGAGAGTTGTTCGCTCCAGTTTGGTCAGGCCCACACAGGGTCCACTCAAAGAAAAGCCAGCTTGTTTACGAAATCGCAAGAGACGGAAAGCTCGTACTTATCCACATCGACGATCTACGACCTGCTCCAAAAGGAAATTCAACCCCCGATTTTGACACCGATTCTGACGAATCACCCAGCACATATGACCCATACACAAGTTCCTGTGAGCTCAGCAACGACGATGACGGTCAATCCATTCCACAACCAATTTCAACCGATTTCGACCAATCAACTCCAAGCGACGTTCCACAACAAGGAAATAAACATCACCAAGACAGCGACGCCTCTAGACCAGGTTATACAACAAGAATTTTTGTAAATTCAAAATTCTCTCGTTCAGGTAGAAAAGTTGTACAAAAATCTTGCCCATGTTGTTAATACTGATCTCATTTTGCATTTTATCTTCTAACTTTTGCAATATCATATTGTGATAGATTAGTATTACTAGAGTTTAATTTGTTTCGTTTTATAAATTTATTTTTTTATGTTTGTACTATTTTCTAATAAAATGTAGCAGGATAATTCGCACATGTAAATCAGCTCTTCAAAACGGAAGGGTGTTGTAGTGCCTAATATGTTTAAATATTTTAAATACGACCCTGTTGTACTTTGTCGCGTCACCACGCCATCTACACAGAAAGTGATGAAGTGTGTACGTAATTTCCGTTAACCTTATGTTCTGTGGTTAGAACTGATTTAAAAGCATGTACGAGTTTGGCTTTGATTCTTGATAAGTTTATTGTTTTAATTATCAACCTCACCCAACAAAAACCACACAAATAAAACAATAACACAATTTTCCGAAAAATTTGGCGCTTGTGCCATTTTGCATTAAACCCGTCGTTATATATGCATTTCCTTTTGAAATATACAACTTTTTTTACTCATTAATGTGCGCTGGAGATGCGTCGGCACAAGTGCGCTTTAAATGCGCCGGCACACGGGCGCTGCATATGACACGCATATGTAAGCGCATCTGTGTAGTGATCTGCGCGCCCCCGGTGTTTAAACTATGACATATTGTTCCAAAAACTTGAAAAGTATGGTGTTCGCGGTATTGCATTGAAATGGTTTCAATCATACTTATCGAACAGAAAGCAAAGAGTGCAAATTTGTATAAATAACCAAAAGTTTACTTCAGATGACCTCAATGTATCCCTGGGAATTACTCAGGGTAGCGTAATAGGTCCAATCTTATTTATTATATATGTGATCTCTATCTATGTCTACCTGCGATTTTAATAAAATTAAATTCTGTAGAAAACGTACTTAGCCAAGGTCATAATGTTATGTCAGGTATATGTAGATGGTTTTCCAATAATAAATTAATTTTAAACGAAACGAATTGTATCTTGTTTAAAACAATGTTGTCAAACCAGATGAATATAGAGAAAATTACACTAAATAATACAATTATTAAAACGTCATATGACACTAACTTCCTTGGACTTTGGACGATTGATCAACACCTAAACTGGTCAAAACATCTACAGAGCCTGGCTAGTAAATTAAATAATATTCACTACACAATCAGAGTAAGTAATAAAAAAATATGTTCAAATCCCAACTATCAAAATGATGTATTGCGCATATTTTGAATCTAGATTAAGGTATGGCATAATATTTTGGGGACAAGGCCCAACTGTCAAGACTTATTCATGATACAAAAACCTGTGATAAGAACTATGTTTAATATGAATTTTAAAGAATCTTGTAGAAATGTTTTTAAGCAACAAAAAATTTTAGCTGTGATTGGTCTTTATGTTTTTGAATTGTTAGTATTTATGTTTAGAAATAGGCATTTATTCTCTAATTTGTACATGTCTTCGCAACGTACCCAAAATCTAATATTTCCACGCCACCGTTTGAGTCAGTATGAGAAAGGTTGTTACTATGCATGTATAAAATGTTTTAATCATTTGCCAAAATGCCTTCAGACTGAAACAAAACTGTCAATATTTGAAAAAAAGCTTAAAGATTTGTTAATAAATATAGAACCATATAGTTTAGAAGAATTTCAAAATAGATCAATGAATAATTGATACAATTGTTAGTTTATCAATGCATTTATCCTTTGCTTTTGACATTTTTTTCCATAACTGTATATGTGTGTAAACTGTAAACAATTATTTGAAAATAAATTATTATTATTATTATTATTATAAAAGGCTTAAGGCTTGACTGTCAACCTAAAGCAAAAGAAGACGTAAAATTTTCATCTGAAAGTCTGTATTATGAAGCCTATACAAGGAGTTAAATCTTCATGGATACAAAAATCTTCCCAAGATTTATACCGAAACGCTACCAAAACAGCAGACGTCAGTACGCATCGAAAATCAGCGCCGCTGGTGGTGAAAAAAACAAGACCTAATTTGTGCAATTTAGTGTGCAGATTTTGTCAATTTCCCTTATTAAGTTCGGACTTCTTGTATAGGCTCCATGGTCTGTACAATTATAATTATTATTTGATAATTACAAGTGGCTTCTGGAACTAACTACTAATCAGATGAAATTACTTACAAATATCAAACGCTTCTTTGATGGGCTTAAGGACCCTACAAAATTGATGAATTTAAGTTTAAAATATTATTAAGTTAACATTTGTATTAGACAAAAAATATTTTAATATTCTTTAGCTTGTATAACTTTAAAAAACTATTTTTAAAAAGTAACGAAATCCATACAAAAATTTAAAAAGTTGTGAACCCTCTAAGTATTTTTATATCAACCTGATTTTTTTACATAATTTTTAATATACTTAGGTAGCCTCTATCCCATTTAGTTTTTTTTCTTGCAAAATTTCAGGGGGTTGTGAACCCTCTAAATATTTTTAATCGAGATTTTTTTTTACATAATTTTGGATACAAATGGCAAGTATTTCTCATGTGTATAAGTGAAAATTGAAATTAAAAAAAAATACTCTCCACCCTACTGTAGGCGTATCCGAGTCCTTAAAAATCCACGTGTGTCTAGAACACATACTGCAATTTTTTAAACATGGGTATTTCTTGGTATTAGGCGCAACACTGGCGCCAACAAAATTTAGCTATTTTAATCATTGACGATCTGCGATTTTTTTTGTTAATCTTCAAAGATCCAAAGCCCGATTTTGGTGTTATTGTCATGCAATATTTTTTGGTTTAAGCCCAATGTTCATATTCTCAATATTCAATGAAATATTCTGTAAAAAAAATAATTTTTGTTTAGGCTCACATTACGAAAAATTGAACATTTTCTAACCAAAAATATAAGTTTTTTATAATTAAGATGGTATTTTTTAATTTAAAATTATTTTTCTTGATTTTTTATTTTATGTTTTTGTAGGTATTCGTTAAATAAATTTACATATGATTTAAAATGTTCATTGCATACTACATAATATTAATATGTTTTGTAGGTATTTGTTAAATAAATTTACATATGATTTGAAATTTTCATTCCCTACTACATATTATTAATACTTACATTTTTACATGCATAGGTTCATTCTTAGTTAATATTTATGTTTAAAACAAAACAACACAAAGTTTATATATTTCTTACACTTTTATTAAGTAATTTTTAACGCAAACCGATTAACAGTTAAAATATTATGGTGATTTTTTATCATCGTAAAAATGAAAGTTTATTTCATTTTCGGAATAGTATTATTGGGTTTCTTAGGTTTAATTAACAGAACTGCGTAATATGCAAACAGTTTTTTCCTAAGAACCTATGATCTAATATTGCTTCTTTCTTATATACAGCCTGTTTTAATTTTTTTATGGAAATTCATTATTTATAGTGTTATTTAAAACTTTAATTAAAAACACATTTTTTTAGAAATGAGAAAAGGTAGATTATATTAAATACCAAAACAAATTTTGTTTTATTATTTTTTTAGATAATACAAAAAAAATTAAATTAATCAAATCAAATTAAAAGAAAATTATATAAATTATATTAATTATAAATTATTAAAAAAAGATATGAAAACATTTGTACACTTATATTTTAGTTTCATTGTCGGAACCTAAAATTTTTGTGGTTTTTTTTGTAAGGAAAGGTACGGTATCTACCACCTCCTTTATTAAACGACTGGTAGTTATTTACTCCATTAATTTGACTCCAATTCTTTGTATTGTGAAATTCCTGAAACAAAAAAATAATTTTTAAAGGCGTATTAAAAAAATCTAATTAAATATTTATTATTTTTTAATTCTGTTATAAACGGTTTCAAGTATTTTAAATAGCAAAACCCTGATCCAAAAGAATCATCAGGGATTTCTACTTTGTTAGACTGACAAAATAAATAAATTTTGTTTTGCATTTTTTAACGATAATATTTTTTTAAACTACTCTTGTCTATTTAATGCAAAAACATTTATATATAAAAATAAGTTTAAAATTAATTTAGGAAGAGTGATAATTGGTTTTACAAGTTTAATTTAAATCCCGGAAACTTTTCGTATTTAAAGTTTTTAGATCATAAATCTAAACTTTAGTTATAAAAATGCGTACTTACTTGAATTGGATTATAGCCTGGGTTGGATTTAAAACTGGAAGCAATTTTAAGATTTTTTGATCGTCCCTGATCTGAAGAGTCTGATATTGTTCTTTTTCGTTCTTCCCTTCTTTCATTATTAATTTCTTTATCTAAAATTGATCTGGTACCATTCCAAGATGATACAGGACCTGAATAGCCTTTATGAGACATTTTAAAAAGATCATTTACAATTTGTAAAGATACATTTTTCTTTTCCCAATTTTTTTCATCAGAAGTCAGTTCTGGAGCGACATCTGTTGAAGACGTTACATGCCAATCCCCTACTGTTGAATTAGTAGATACACAAACAGGACCTTTGGCGTCCTGAATTGACTGACTGGAATCATCTGAACAACTTGTATCTTCAGTTTCATACGGAACTAATGATTTATTAACAAATAACCTTTCTAACCCATTAGGATTTTTTTGCAATACCGTTCCACAAGAATTAGAAATATTTGAAGATGAATTGCCTGGCATATTGGTACGATTTATACATATTGTACCAAGAGGTCGTTTGTTGGTAGAACTGCTGTCTGCATCTTGTTTTGATGTTTGAGAAATGTCTTTAGAATAGTTATTTAATTTTATTTCACCTTCCTGAGGATCACCACGTTTATTATCTTGGATTCCATTGCCATTATCTAAATTAGATAAAACTAATCCATTTATGTCCTGTTCATTTGGGTCATTTGTTATTTTACAATTAGTGTTTTTAGAAATTAACCCAATATTTTTTTTTAAAGATAATTTTTCAATTAAAATTTGTGGCTTTCTTTTAGCTATTGTTGGTGTTGCTTGGCTGTGTGGTAAAGATTCCAGTTCAAAAAGCATTATATATGCATTGGTATTAAAAACGGCTTGGTGTGATATTGGTCTTACCTAAAAAGTTTTTTTTTTAATTTTAAAGCATGAATCAACAAACAAAAATTATTCAATGATATACACTCACCGACAAAAAAAACCGGCACCTAAATTTTTCTGACAATTTTGACATGTCAAAACTTTTTTATTTTTGATTTTATTGCAATGATTTTTTCGCTGGACTATAGATCAATTCATTTAGATTGCGCTGCAGTTTATCCTGATGAAATTTTGGATGCTTGAAGGTTTATATACCAGGGATAATAAACATGCTGTTTTTATCTGTAAGTTTAAAACACCCTGTGGAAAAAACATGCAAATCAACCTTTTTCTAAACTGTTTTACGATAAATCTGGATGTGTTCCGAGTTTTTTGTTTTTTTACATCATCTGTCCATCTCGTTTCTTTTGCGAGCTACGCATTTTTAAACGAAACAACGTCTCATTTAAAAATATTTTTACTAAAGCTGTATTTAAAGTTGTTTAGAGCACAAACTGAAAGTTAATAACGGGTGTGTCCACCTCTAGCCGCAATCACAGCCTGCATTCTTCGTGACATCGAATCAATTAGATTGATTATTTTTTCTTGTGGAATAGCTTTGTATTCTTCATTTAATGCTAACCTGAGCTCTGCTAATGTTGTAGGCTTGATGAGACCGTAACGAACGCGTCTTTTTAATTCATCCCACAAATGATCAATTGGGTTGAGATCTGGGCTGCATGGTGACCATTCCAACCTCCGAATTCCAACTTCATCTAAAATATTTGTAGAAAATGGAGCCCTTAATGCCCATAGATATATTGAAGATATACTACATGAAGCTGTCATTCCATTTGACCCTTTCATTGGAGAAGAGTTTATACTCATGCAAGACAATGCCAGACCGCATGTAGTAAATGAATTTTTAGATGAAATTGGAATTCGGAGGTTGGAATTGCCACCATGCAGCCCAGATCTCAACCCAATTGATCATTTGTGGGATGAATTAAAAAGACGCGTTCGTTACCGTCTCATCAAGCCTACAACATTAGCAGAGCTCAGGTTAGCATTAAATGAAGAATACGAAGCTATTCCACAAGAAAAAATAATAAATCTAATTGATTCGATGCCACGAAGAATGCAGGCTGTGATTGCGGCTAGAGGTGGACACACCCGTTATTAACTTTCAGTTTGTGCTCTTAACAACTTTTAATACAGCTTTAGTAAAAATATTTTTAAATGTGACGTTGTTTCATTTAAAAATGCGTAGCTCGTAAAAGAAACGAGATGGACAGATGATGTAAAAAAACAAAAAACTCGGAACACATCCAGATTTATCGTAAAACAGTTTAGAAAAAGGTTGATTTGCATGTTTTTTACACAGGGTGTTTTAAACTTACGGATAAAAACAACATTTTTATTAACCCTGGTATATAAACCTTTAAGCATCCAAAATTTCATCAGGATAAACTGCAGCGCAATCTAAATGAATTGATCTATAGTTCAGCGAAAAAATCATTGCAATAAAATCAAAAATAAAAAAGTTATGACATGTCAAAATTGTCAAAAAAATGTAGGTGCCGGTTTTTTTTGTCGGTGAGTGTATATTATAACGGGGAAATCAAGGAATCAATAGAAAAAGTGCCGGTGCATTTTTATGTGTTGCTCGATTATATTTTCAAATTCCTCATCGTGATTGGACCATGTGATTTTTGCAATATGTTCTGGCAAAAAGCGTCAATCTGAACAAAAGTAAGTTTTCGTTTATTTGTTGTTTCTTAAGAAATTTAATTTAATTAAAAGTAATTGTTTCTATTGACATGCTCAAAGTTTTTACTTTTCATCTGCAAAAATAAATTTTTCTACAACCAGGCGAAAAGTACAAATTTGCGCTTCCAAAAAAATACACTTTTCCGAGAAGCGAGCGTTTTTTTACTTTGTCGCTCGCTTAGTTACCATGGAAACCATAATAAAGAAATGTTTAGTGTATTTGCGACTTTTGACATAAACGTCAAATTTGAGGTTATCAATAATTATTAATTTTTACCAACATTCTTATAGAAACACAAACTTCTCGCTCAGAGCGGCAATGTATCACTTTGCGCTCTTAATACACAAATAACTATTTTCATCGCCGTTTTATTATTTTTTAAGTCCATGTCTGACGGTGCATTTACTCGCGGCGACTTTGTTGCGGCGACTAGTTGCAGCGACTTTCTCGCCTCTAGGGTGTTCACACGGTGCAACCAAACTGACGTTATTTTCTACTAGGATTGCCAACATAACCGAAAATTACTTAGTTGAAAAATAAAAATACCTAAACAAATTTAATGTTTATTTAAATCGGTTTTGTTTTTCTTTTAAAGTTATAAGTATTTTGTGGTGTAAAAATATATATTTATTTTTTAATTTATAACCTGGATCATTTGTGAGGTACATATTCGGGTTTGTCTCGTAACCTAGAATTAATATTTTAGTGGATTCCCTATCCCACGTAAATCCCTTAAATTGGAGGATGTAGGTATAATAACTATAAATAAAAACTTAATAAAAAAAAATTTATTGCAAAAATAAAAACAATATACCTAATCAACACAAAATATTTTCTTTTGTAAGAAAAATTAACAAAAAAATAAGTTTCTAAACATAACGATAATAAATGTACCTATTTGGAAAAAAATCTTTCGATTTATTTGGAGAAACAAAATTTTTTCCATTCTTTTTGGTTTAAGTAGGGAGCGTCTGTCCGATAATATAATCCCAGATTTTGAAAAGGTTCTTTCCGAAGGTACCGATGTAGCCATCACACATAAATATTTTTTTGCCAAGCCTGCAAGTTCAGGATATAATACTTTTCTTGTTTGCCACCATTTAAGAGGATTATCTTTTCTGTAAAGAATCCTCTCTTCGATGTACTGTCTCATGGTGATGATTCCAGTAGCAACGGTAGACACTGTAATAGTGCTGGTTCTTTCGTCAAAATCCTTCCAAAGATCTTCTTTGTCATCTTCAAATGCAGCATTAGGCGTATTTTTGTCATCCATATTATGATTTGTCAATTCTACTGAAGGTAGTGGTGCCCTTGTAATTTGTTCCAACTCCTTCTTCAAAGAATTTTTGGCTTGTTCATAAGAATAATCGTCAAAAAATGCTTGCCTCTTAAATCTGGGATCAAGTAGTGCAGCTTTTGATAGTAAGGGATGTCGCGAACTATTTTTAAATCTTGCATTGAATTCTGAAGTCAACTTATCAAGCAGTCTTTTTGATGCTTCTTGAGTGAGCGTTTTACCGATATTAGTTAATACTTGCATAACACCAATGTTGCCGGCCAAAACTTTTGAAATAGTTACCTCTTTTTGAGATGACATTTCTTCTGTCAACTGTTTAAAAGGTTTTAAAATTTTTACAATTTCTGGAAGAACCTGCCATTCATTCTCTGATAAATTATTTACAGGATTATGTAATAAACCAATTGTAGCCTCCAGGGATTCTTGCAGGCTTACCACTCTTTCCAGCATATCCAAAGTACTGTTCCAACGCGTTATTACGTCCATTTTAAGTTTTAAAGGTTTTTGTCCAGGCCTTAGTTGTTCTTGCATATTGATGAATTTATTTACTGCAACAGGACTTCTATGGAAATGTTCGACAATAGATTTGACATTTTTAACAGTATCTTGTATTAGCTCTACCTGAAGGGCACTACGAACTATTAAATTAAAGGTGTGAGCAATACAAGAAAAATGCTCCCACCCTGTTAATCTTACTGCTGCTTTCATGTTAGCAGCATTATCGGTTACGCAAAAAACAATTTTATTGCGTATTTCCCATTTAGCCGCGATGTTTATGAGCTCTTGGCTTATGTATTCTGCTGTGTGTCGCTCGGTACATTCAAAACAACCCAAAAGGGCTGAATGAAGTTTCCAGTCCTCTTCCAAAATATAATGTACTGTCACTGCTTGATAAGAAGTTGTAGCACGAGATGTCCATCCATCTGTTGTTAATGATATATACTGAGCTTTACTCAACTCATCTTTCAATTCTGCTTTCACAGATTCAAATAGAGCATCAAGGAAAGTATTACTGAGTAGGTATCTTGATGGAATTTTGTAATTTGGTTCTAGATAACTGATTAAATCAATAAATCAATAAATCTTCAACGATGGAAAATGGTTGGAGATCTTTAATGATCAAATTTAAAATTAGATCATTAATTTTTTTTACCCTTGCTATATAGACCTATCCCATAAAACGGACTTTTGGATAGCGCGTGCGTGAAAAGTCACGTCGTCTTTTTTTAATTACTTAAAAGAGAAAGAGATACCACTCTTCTTCAGGCACGCGCTATCCAAAAGTCTGTTTTATGGGATAGGTCTATTCATAGGTTTTTTTGCAAATAATGTTATACATGTTTGCCTTTCCTTAGGATTCTTTACATAAAGGTCATTAGATTTTACACTAGAAGGATCTGAAGTTTTTTCTTTTTGATCACTTGCAGAATTCTGACTGGATGATGCGGCCGTTATTTCAGGTACGTGCGATACCAAGCTTTCTGACTTGAATAAGCTATCATAAGATAAGCGGTGCTTTGCCATTAAATGTTTTTTTAAATTTGTTGTGGAGCCGCCCGAGTATAAAGAACGGCAAAGATCACATTTTGCTTTTTCTGACTCTTTACTGAAGAAAGTCCACAGCTTACTTCTTTTGTTTTCCATGATGATGATAGCTGCATCACTGGAAAGAATACATTCACTTAGTATTTTACCAAATGATATTACAAAAATTGTCACATTTACACCCTGTAGAACAATTACGATACAATATTTTTTTTTACACATTAAATAGGTACTATGCTCCACTATAAAGATTTATTATTTTTTAACACATAAGCGGTAAACGTATAAATATGATTTATTTCATAGACTGTACTTTGACATATACATAAGATAACATAAGATTTAAATTTATACTTTACAGTAACATAAAGAACAAAA